CATGAAATATGTAAAAACGATCTGCCGTGTAATATAAAGTAGATTGGAAGACCTTAAATATGAAAGCATTGTACCTTGATTTGAAGGAATCCAGTCCTGTCTCTATATTTATGCTGCTATAAGCTCAGACTGCTGGAGGACATAGGGACCCCTTTTTCATCATTCTGATTAGTTCTATCTCTATTCTCCTTCATTCTGTAGAATTTGTTAGTTCAGTCTCTGTCTATGTTATACTCTCTCTGTTTTTTCTCATATTAGCTTGATCTGGTCTGTTTCTGTTTGGCTGTGACACCATCCTAGAGAGAAACATCAACTGCACCATCAACGCCTTTGCCTATAGATGTTTGAGCTTGACCTCTTTTTCAGTGTATTCCTGTTTCTCTGACTGGGGCTAACTGTATGTGCTCTCTGTCATCCTCTGACATAGGAGCTGGCTCTGATGTCATCAGACTGCCTGTGGAGCTGATTGACAGTTACCTTTTGTATCTCTGGTTCTTTTTCTATTTCTGCTTCTGTTCCCTTGAACCCCAGTCAGCCTTAGCAGATGGCGGCTCACACTGAGTCTGGTTCTGCTGAAGATTTCTTCCTGTTAAAAGGGAGCTTTTTCTGTCCACTTTCGCTACAAGCATGCTTGGTGTGAGGGATTGCTTTCAAATCAATGAGTTGATGCAATCATTTGTTTTTTTTTAGATAATAAACTTTGTATCAATTTGACTATATGATCTAGTTTCAACTGTAAAGTGCCTTGAGATTACGTGTTTGGAATTGCCACTATATAAATAAACTGAATTGAATTTTAAAAATAAGATTTTTTTTAAAAGATTCTGATAGACATCTGTTAGACTGGAAGGGGTTACAGAACCATTTCTAAGGCTTCACAATTTCCAGAAAACCATATTAACAAGTACTTTTCATAAATAGAGAAAACGTGGACTATCAGTGAACCAGGATTCCCAGAACACATTGGTGTATATCAACAGAGGTCAAATAAGGACTTAGAATCATAGCTGAAGCTCTGTAGACCATATGTGTCTTTGTTAGGTTCAGTGCTCAGATTCACCACAAAAAAAAGAGGCTGGACAAAAAAATGTAAGAAGGAGTTCCAAAGCCAAAACGACTGCTGTCACAAAGATCTATTGGTCCTAAAAATTCCCCATGACTGCCAGGACACAGGCTGTGGAGTGACACGACAAAAAGGGAGTTTTTAGATGTGTGCATCAGATTTACATATAGAAAACCCCGATTAACTAACCATTCCAAAATATTTGGAAATGTCAAACAAAGTGGTTGCAATGTAACCAGTGTTTGCCATCATGCTGCGGCTCTGGTAAACTTGCGTTTCCACCAGGACAATGATTCAGAGCAAACAGAACATTCGACTCTGAACAGCTCCACAAAAAAGGGTCCTACTGAGATGTTTTGTTGCTCGGAAACCATCACAGTGGTTTTTCACATTTCTTTAAAATGATTTAAAAAATTGCTTATAAACACCCTGTGAAATAGATCTTCCCATTACCTGAATTCTTCTCAGTTTTAGCCAGAAATCTCATTGAGAATGTCGATATATTTCAAAAATTTACAAACAAAACAATGAAACCTGTTTGGAAAGCTAAAAGAAAAAGAGCAAAGAAGTAAAAGAGCCGCTGAACAAAAGCTGAAAGAGAGGATGAGAGAAACTGCAGCATCTATGAAGGAAGAGATAATGAACCCACAGTGGAAGTGATGACAGAAAAGGACCAGCATCACCCCTGGACTATACCCAGATGTAAAGTGGACAGCTGGGGACAGCCTGATGTGACGTCAACAGTGTGACGTGTTTGGACTGTGACTAGTCAGGGATGGCGGAGCAGCCCTGGTAAATAATGGAGTCGATGTTTACAGTTTCTATCACCCCAATGTGAAGTCAACATCCTGTGACATCAGAGCTGTTATTTGACATGATTCCTCATCATGGAATGATGTGTGATGACAGGCAGATCATTTCAAATGATTCACAGACTGTCAGAAGCAGCTGGGAGCAAATGATGCTTTAATTTCACATGTCCTGGGTCAACACAGGATGCTGTGAAAATACAGGTAGCAACAATCCATCAACAGTGTGAAGAATTCAGTTATCACATCATTACTTAGAATATTCAGCTAGAAGCCAGCAGAGTTTTTTATTTCTATTTTTTGCTGTGGTTTTTAGCCTTTGCTGCTGTTTGGACATGTTCTGTATTATTTCAAATAGCTGTTTTTGCAGCTTGAAAGATCATTGTAAAGTGTCCCAGAAAAGCCCTACTTCCTGTCTTCAGTTTGCTTCTATTCTTGCTAATTTTGTACTTCTCTTTTTTTTTTCATCAATTACTTTATGCATTAACTACACTTTTGTTGAAAAGCATGTTTCCTTCACAAACTTGATGAGACACATTCAAATATCTCATATAGATAACCTGAATAAATACAAAAGAGAGTGGTTAAATCGGGATATGTATTAATTAAGCTAATTAAGGTCATGCCAAAGCACCGTTGTTGGATTTGAGTCCTGACTTTGACTAGGCCAAAAAAGGCCTGATATGTTTGGGATTTAGACTATTGAGAGGAGAAAGAAGTTTCCCAGATGTGCTTCAGGTAAATATCCAGAATTGGGAATTTCTGTGAGAAAGCGGAATTCATGATTACTTGAATAATTGCAAGGTTATATCAAAGCATCAAAGGAGTTGGAGACCATCAGACCTCAGCTACGATGATTGGCTGTGACTATCATGTTGTTTGTTTTTTATTCTATGGACGTTTTTAACCAGCTGGAGACACACCTTTCAAAAGATCCCCAAGTTTCAAAAGAAACTTTTATTATCTTTTCGGTCAACAGTGGATTAAGCCATAGTTTCCATTTTTGCCTATTCTCTCTCTTATGGTTGAATCCTCAATGCTGACCTCAACTAAAGCAATTGAAGCCTTAATATGAACATAAAGCTATGATGGGTCTGCAACGCCAAGGAAGGTTTAGCACTGAGCACCAATGCTTTAAAAAATGGCTTTGTAAAACTTCATAGACTGATTGATATCATTCACTTTGCTTCTTGTCTTTTCTTGAATGTCTTTAAATCAGGGCATTATTGGTCACTTTTAAAGATCTTTTTGTCAACGAGGCAAGGTAGGTTTATTTATAAAGCACATTTCAGTAAGAAGTCAATTCAAAGCGCTGTATATAAGAAAAAAATAGTAAAAGACATAGAGAAAAAATAATTGCAGTGGTATAGAGATGATTAAATAATTAAAAAGATTAACAATTTAAGAAAATATAGAATTAAATCACATGAGAGCAACAAAAAATTGGAAAATAATAAAGTGATTATTAAATATAAAAAAAACAAGAAATTACACAGTCTTCCCAATCTTTTCATTACGGATTGGCATGGTGCATTTAAAATAGACTACAGCGAGGCATTTACTTTGTTTTCCCTTGCCGTTTTTCCAAACTTTTCACAATTAGAAAGATAAAAGAGGGAGTGCTGGCCTAGTGGTTAGAGCAGTGCACTTGTGCTCTGAGAAGGTTGCAAGGACCCTGTTTGATCCCCACAGCCTCCACTCTGAGTTCCTGAGCAAAACCCTTAACCCCAAACTGCTCCCCAGGCGCCGCACAATGGCAGCCCACTCCTCCCCAAGGGGATGGGATAAATGCAGAGGTCAATTTCTCCAATGTTAGATCATTTAAGTTAAATCATTAAATTATTTGTGGTCGAATTTTTGACAAGGTTTTCTACTCCATTTGTCACATTTAATCACAGATTGGCTTTGAGCCTTAAATTGTTAAAAAAAAAATGAATAAATGCTGATTAAATTTGGCTTGGATGTGAGTGAGGTTCAAAGCTTATTTCATCCGTGGAGAAGAGTTTTTACTCTCAAACTACTCTATCGATGTGACAATGCTACCCTCTTCTGGTCTAATAGACTTTAGACTTAGACAAACTTAATTGTCATGTTGTTGAGTGTATACAAAAGGAAATTTTGTTTTGTACCGCTCTCATGAAATTTCCATTTCTTAAAGTGCAGCAATGATCAAATGTAAACATAATAATAATAACATGGTGCAAAAAAACGCATTAGGTGACATGAGTTACAGTTTTTTGAATATTTTTGAGTTTTTCTTTTTTTTTCTGTTTTTTTTTTTTTTTTTATTTTAAATTCAGCAGTCTGATGACAGTGGGGAAGAATATGTTTTGCAATCTGCTAGACCTGCATTGAATGCTGTGAAGCCTCTTCCCAGAGTGCAGCAGAGACATTCATTTTAATTCAAAATTTTATATGGCGGTGTATTCCAAAGCCTGCTGTAATAGAATATGAGATAATAAGCACAGAAAAAATTGACATTTTAAAACTTGTTTTTGAATGAAGTTATCCTGCTACATTCTGAAATAAAATCCCTTCCCCATTAAATCATGAGTTAACTTTTATCATCAACCTATTTCAGACAACTATTTACATTTTACTAACCACATCCAGTCATTAATACTGCCTTACCTATGTAATGAAGTATAGACTTTAAAATAACCTGTCTGGCAGCATGAAGTTGGTTAAAAGATCTCAAAGTAACACATCATGCCTTAACCTAAAGAAATGGCGAGTGTTGCAAAGACTAAACCCAAACAAAATCAAAATTATTCCTGGATTTAAACCATTCAGAAAAGAAGGATGAGCTCACTCCCAGAGATCTCATACATGCTGCAACCAAATATGGGGTTCAATTAGCTTTTTTTTTTTTTTTTTTTTAAAGGTTATGTTGCTTCAGATGGCTTTTTTCCCCATTAAAATAATGAATTTTTTGTTTTACTGTGGTTATGATTGTGTTTATTATGGAAAACGTGACTTTTTCTAAATACAAAAAAACAACCAAATAAGACATGTGCTAAGGTGCAAATTAATTTTTTTACAGAACCGTCCATAGACAACATATAAAAGAAGAATGTCACAGGGGACTGAAACGTTAAATGTTTGGATATTAATGAGATGAAGACAACTTCTATCAAAATGTTTATTATTTGACTATTTTTAATTCAAATGAAAGTTTATAGAAGCAAAATTAGGAAAGAAAGCCTGAACTTTACTATATAGTCAAACATCGTTTTACTTAACTATCACAATTTGCCCACTAGGTGGCGACATTAATCCCTCTGCTTCCAGCTAGGTTTATAAGAATAAAAACAGCCCTAAAACTTAGGAACTTCACAATATAAAAACTTAGTTAGTAAACAATAAAAAAAAAAGTTTTAAAGTGTCTGTTTTTACTCTAATTACTATGCATATATTTTCAAAGATCTAATTTAATCAAGTCTCTCACTGAATCAGGCAGAACAGCTTATTGTGAGTTAATATAAATACACTTCATCTCTAAATCAGTTATCTCTGTCACCAGTCAAAATTTCTACATTACAAAGATCATACCTCAAATATGAACAAATCTTTAATTTTTTTTTCTACAAATGGATCAACAAACTACAATACTGAACTAATCAGGTTTTACTATGGTTTAAAAATACTGACCTACAGCTGCAATGTTGAAAGACAAAACAGAAGGATCAAATAAAGCAAGTTTTTTTTTATATGATGTTATTAATAAATCCTTTAAAAGCAGAACTATTCTCATTGATTTTCAGTTTTACTGTGCTGACAGCAAACTTTAGGACTATGGGTGTTGATGGTCCTCCTGTGTGGTGAGGAAGTTCAGGAGGTCAATGGTTGTTATGACGCCCATCACCTTCTGCATCGGACGAACTGAACCACCTGTTTCATCCGGACAACAAAAAAAAAAGGGAAATTAACAAATTATTAGTGGCTTAACTGAAATACACTTTTTTTTGACAAAGTTAAAAGATAGGCCAATTTTGTTTTTTATTTAAAAAAAAAAAGTCCTTTATAGAATCTGTGACAAAAATAAGGGTTAGGGTCGACAGCGGTTAATTTCAGTTTTCAAACATGCCTTTTTATTTCTAAGGCTATATTCTAGTAAATAATGGCATAAAGAGCAAAGTTACCAACAACAATGCAAAAACGCAAAGTGAGAATTACAATCCTGGAAGAATAAAGTAGTGCATTACTCAGAAGACACAAAACCCCTTGCATTTTGAGGAGTGAGATCTCAATATACAGAACCTCTAACCATCTTTCTATTTTATTGTATTGTTTTTTTTGTTTTTTTGTTTTAGCTTCTGATCTTGGGAAGAAGGTTTAAAAGTAAATAATAAGCAAATAGCTAATCTTAAAAAGAAAAAAATATTCTTACACTTGGTGTGATCGTTCACCACCAGCGCATAGGTTTGTGTTTTGAGAATGCAGGATAACTTCCCCAGTTTGTCTGTCAGGTGCACCTGAAAACAAACATAAAGGTTAAGAGACAATAAATATGTTTGGCTTCTATGTTGTTGTGGATTCAGTGTCTCCACCATCAGGCAGACCTGTCTGAAGTCCTTGCAGAGCATCGTTCTGACAGGATCTGACAGTTTGGCCTTTCCATCCTGCACACTGGACATGATGGTTCCCAGCGTCACCATCCCAAGGAGTTCACTGCAGAATCACAGGCAGATATTCAGAGTCAGAATCAGGTTTATTGCCAAGTAGGTTTGCACTTAAAAGAAATTTGACTTGGTGCAGACAAATCAGATATACAATTATATATACATACAGAATACAGAATCTATAGCTATATACAATATAAAGCATACGAATACTATATGCAATATATATCTATATACACAGTAGCCTGTGCATTAATGTAATGCAGGAGGTCTGGAGATGCTACGTTGGTGTAGCTACTAGGTCATGAACAGGGGAGGTAGTGTCAGTGTCTCAGGGGTCTCTGGGCCTTGTTGATAAGGCTGGTAGCAGATGGGAAGAAACTGTTTTTGTGGTGTGAGGTTTTGGTCCTGATTGACCGTAGCCTCCTGCCAAAGGAAAGTGACTGAAATAGTTTGTGGCTGCGGAGTGTGGAATCAGCCACAATCTTCCCTGCATGCATGAGGCGAATAGATCCTTGAGAAATGGAAGACTGCAGCCGATCACCTTCTTTGCAGACTGTATGACACACTGCAGTCAGCTGATGTTCAGCTCCCATTTTAGGTCCTGTGAGATAATTGTTCCCAGGAACAGAAAAGACTCCACATTTGACACTGGGAAGTAATAGAGGGTGATGGGGAGAGCTGGGGCTGAGTTCCTCCTGAAGTCCACAACCACAGTCTCCTATTAGGAGACTGTGGTTGTGGCAGGCCGTAGTTGGTAACTTTTTCAAAAATTGGTATTTCTACATGGCGATTGACTGACAACCAGTCGATCGCCGGGATCACGGGATAAAGCATGATGGAAAATGCATTTCCACAAACGTCTCTCTGTGTATCTTTTGCAAAGTAACGGCACATACCCAGAATGATCGAGGACCGGGGCCTGATCGAAGCCCTTCTCTCTCAGCATCTTGATGACTTCTTGGCAGGAAAGGAATGGTGCAATGATCAGAGGGTTGGACAGGTGTAAGCTGTGGATGGTCAGGTCCCACCACCTTCAACAGATAAAAGTTAATCTCCTATTTCCCATCCTATCCTAAAGGTGGAGAAGCCGTTTATTTCTTTCCTGTCTTACCAGGGTTTGACCTCACTTGGATTCTCCAGGAAACCTTTCTCACACATCCACTGATCACACAAGAACTTAGACCTGGAAATAAAATCCAGCTTTTAGATTTTCATCATGGGGCTTATATACTAAAAGCTTATTGGTTAACAGACATTAGAATTATCCATATTCAGAAGCATGATCCTCTAAATTTCAAACTCCTCCCAGCCTCAAAATCCCAGGAATGCAGCAAAATAAGGGTGAACCAAAATGCTGCTGTGATGGTTCTTACCACAGTCATAAACCTGGTTTCCTTTAATAGTTTCTATCATGCTGGTAATTTTCATGCTTTATAGAACTTTAGAATGTCCACAAACATTAACTTTGATCAACCCAATAAAATCAACCTTAGTGTTACTTTGTGCATTAAACTAATTAGCATCATGACATGTTAAATCATTTTTCCCTCAATATTACTAACATAAGTTTTTGCAATGAGTTTAGTTTATACCACAATCTAGATTTTCAATCTATTTATATGTTTGGATGTGTGCTTTTCAATTAATTAAAAGATGACAGTATCACTACTAAATGAACTTAGATTTGATTTAAGTTATATTGCAAAATCAAATAACAACAATGGGATAAATTATTTCAATAGTTACCCAGAATATTGCTAAACAGCCAAATATTGAACTTTTATGACTTAAAGCTTTAAATAGTGACTTTTAGTGGCAAAGGTTGAAACCAACTGTGGCATGTTAAACTGCCCGTCATTTAGAAAACTACTGTACAAAAATATAAAAAATGAACAAAAACTTTAAAGGCATTTTGGGTCAAAAATATTACCTGTTCTTATTACTTTCCTTTTTAAAAAGAAGATAAATGCATTACCTTTGTTTTTGTTCGACTGCCCACTGTACAAACTATAGGTATTATATTCTTGGCATGAAAGCCCCTCTAAGGGGGGTAAAACCTTTATGATCCTCATTTGGATTATTATGCACATTATCTCTGGTCTAAAAGACTAGATGCAGGAGTGAATAGCAGACTCTAACAGCCTTATTGCAGAATCTCTGCTTGTTTTCTCTTACATGTAGTTACGAACAGAGTCTGGCAGGATGACCACGCAGCGCTGTCCTTCCTCCAGCTGCTGAGCCATCTTCACTGCTGCCGCCATCGCTGAGCCAGAACTTCCACCTGGATTAAAAACAAAAGAGCGACAAGATAATTATTCGAAATCAACTTAGATGGCATTTAAAAAAAACATAAATATGAATATGTTGGTCGGTGGTATGAGCTCACCACAAAGAAGGCCTTCCTCTCTTATTAGTTTGCGTGCCATGTTAAACGTTTCCTTATCACTTGATTTGTACCACTTGTATACGAGCTGAAGGGTTTTATAGAGAGAAAGATTAAAGTTATAGCTAACTAAGAAACCATTAACTTTAAATGTCTGTGTTCACTCTAACACTCACAGATCTATCCAGTACAGTGGGTATAAAGTCATATCCAATACCCTCAACCTCAAAATGAGCACTTTCATGTTCTTCAGTCTGTACCAGCGAAGAGCCCTCAGGATCCACACCGATTATCTGCCAACAATAAAAAAACAAACAGTTATATTAACATGGAAGGAAGCTATTTTAAACGTGTCCATCTTTAAATGGATGTAAATTACATGCATGATTATTTTTTCACCTAAGCAGTGTAGGTTGATGATAAACCATCTTTTATTAGCTGTTATGGTGAATAAAATCAAAGCACTTTCCTGAGTGAACACTTTCATGAGTGGGTTTTTTGGGTTTGAATATCTTGCCTTGACATTGGGGCACTTCTCCTTTAGCTTTCGAGCGATACCTGTGAGCGTACCACCTGTGCCGGCTCCGGCCACAAGCATGTCCAGTTTACCTGAAAGGAAAAGGACATTTCTCTCTAAATGCCCATGATCATTTCAAACTAAGGGCAGAAATATATAGTTAAAGAAACAACATGTAGGATTTTTGCTACATTTGTTCTTGGCATTTTTTTATGCTTTATATGTGTAACATTTGTGCTCTTTTTTAGATAAATAAAACTGCATGCTTTGTGGTTTACTTAAATGTGTCTGGATTTTATCTTGTGTAAGTTTTATGGTATGTTTAAAATCTCACTGGTTAGCATAAGCTTAAAGCATCATACAGCCATTAAAAAGAGTTGAACACTTTTAAACTTAAATAAGGTAAATTTCTTATCTTTGACATTGCATTTACTGGAAAATATGAAAGTTAAATAAATTCAATCATAACATGTAGGCCAAATATTATATTTTTAACTTTAGTTGTTATTCTTTTTTTTTCATCATTTTTGGGGGTTATATGATGTATTCCAAGTTTTATGTGAAAAAGTTGGAGGTTTTTCTAATGAACTTTTTCCATTTTTCAATCACACACACTAAAACATTAACATAAAATGTCCTGAGATAGGCTAGATTTTATTATTGCTTCAAACAATCCACCAATCTAAAAAAGCCAGTGTTGAAAGCAATCTATTCACCATGTTTAATTTTAGCTGGGATAGCAAATAGGAAAAAGATGCTCAGTTTTGGGTCTTGATTAAAAAAAAAAAAAAAACTGAAACACTGTCTTTATGGTTAAACACGGTGGTTGCAGCATAATGCTGCGGGGATGATGTGGGAACAGGAAGCAGGACAAAACTGATGTGATGAACGAATGAGAGAAAACCTCTAAGAGGCTGTAAAGATTTGAGACTGCGGTGGAGCTTTAAGAATGACATCAATCCAAAACCAAAACACAACAGTGTGTTAAAATGCAGAGGGGGGGGGGTCATCCCTGGTGGGCGTGGCTTCTGCTGCAGGTATCACACCTGCTTGTAATGCCCTCTGCTGTTATAAGGTCATTTTAAAGTGAAAGGTTAATTCTCAGCCGAATTGTTTGTTCTTTGAAGAACCTTTGCTTACACCTGCTTTGAGTTTGCCTGGTTTAAAATTATGCTCAGACTGCAAAAAAATTGAAATCTATACGAGTCATTTTTGCTTAAATTAAGTGAATTTTGAGGAACTGAGGAGATAAGTGAGACACCTTGCCAATGGAACAAGACAAATTACATTTAAAACAAGAAAAAAAACAATTGCTTTGTCTTATTTCAAGTGAATATTATCTAATAATTTTATTTTAGGAGTTGAAATACTCATTCCCTTAGCAAATAATCGTATTTACCTACTAAAATTAAGGGTAAATATACTTAAGAAATGTTGTACTTATTTCTAGATGGTTTTTGCAGTGCAGGGTTTTGTTTTTTGTTTCCTTTCCACCCAGACTGTTTGCTGCTGGTGTCCTAACTTGATAACTTGACCTTACAAGGTGACATCACCCTCCCGGTCATTCTTCAACAGCCTTTCTTGCCCTTTCGTAAGAGACTCATAGGGTGGGAGGTTAAGGCAATCGAGACACATGTTATGACAATTTTTGTTAGACACTGAATAGGTTTTAACTGAAAATGCATGAATATAAAACATGCAGGATTACAGGCCTGGGTCTTCATGTTTTTTAAGATTATTGCGCTGACTGGGCAAGTTTACAGAACTTGAAAGAAGCAGACATTTTGGTTCATAGAGTAATAAAATGAAAGATAATAAAAAACAAAAACAAACAAACCATCACACTGCTCCAGGATTTCTTCAGCCGTTGTATCATAGTGAGCCAGGGGGTTACTGGCGTTACGGTACTGGTCCAGGATGTGCGAGTTTGGAATCTCACTCCTTAACCTCCAAGCTGTGCGAATGTGAGACTCCACTGAATCAAATGCTGCAGATGTAGGAGTTCGCACAATTTCTGCCCCGAGAGCCTTTAGCACATCCACCTATAGTATAAAAAACAAGGGCAGATCAGCTGCATGTACTGACCCACTGCTGTGGAACAAACTAATGCAGAAAACACTTACTTTCTCCATACTCATCTTCTCAGGCATTGCAATAATGCAGCGGTAGCCTTTCACAGCTGCTAGGAGAGCAAGGCCGATTCCTAGAGGTGTTCATAAGAGCTGGTTTATAAGCGCTGGTGTTGTTTTATTATAAAGTAAGTAACAGAACCACAGTTAGATATCTGAGCTATTGAGAAGGAAGTACCTGTGTTTCCAGAAGTGGGCTCAATGATTGTGTCCCCTGGTTTGAGGATCCCTTCTCTCTCAGCGTCCTCCACCATCCGCAGAGCGATTCTGTCCTTAATGCTGCCTCCTGCGTTGAAGAACTCACACTTGGCCACTAAATAAGGAATAACATAGGATACTGTACCATTTGCATTGTGAAAATATGTGATAATTGGGAATTAAGAGCTGGCACACAAGAACATAAACCTATGTAAAGTTGTTGCAAGACTTCATTTCACCCTCTGTTGCATTCACATCTTAAGCAACCCTCAGTGTTTGTGTCTGCTTGAAGAGGGAAACTATGAAGCATAATTTATGACATTGTTTTTAGTTTGAGTGTTTTAGATTTTTTATGTTTTGTTTCTTTAATGGATATTATTTGCCTTCTGTAAAGCATTTCTGTAAAGCATTCCCATTACCCTGTGCATTTATGGTGCTTTACATATGAAGGACCTAGAGTGTGGCTGAAAAGGAAAAACCAGCCATTTCAAAGGAATTTAAATCATGCCATTCAATTGCACATTTGAAATAGATTTTAAAGAGGAATTGTAATTTAAAATGTATGAATGAATTATTAAATACTGGAATTTAGAAATGTATTTTCAAATCCTATTTCTAAATTCATATATTTGATTTTAAATACCTCATCTAATCACCCATTTAGAAAGGTAATTCATTTTTCCATTTCCATTTTATTTCACCATGCATTTCAAATCCTTTATTTGGCCCTCTCCATTTACCTTTTCTCTAACCGAGCAGACTGAAAACCAATCAAGCCAATCACAGTTGCTTCTCAGACGTAACCAGCTCCCTCATTGGTCAGTTTGTGAACTAGGTTTGGCAATCAGGGTTTCTATGGAAGAAACCCTAGTTTTGATTTTAATGGATGTTTGACTCCAAATCCTTTCAGCATGAATATCCTTTGTATTTAACAAGGTAACAATTTGACAAACAGTTAATATGGCTATATAAATATATTACCTCAGACTTTTGTTATATAATGAAAACTTTTCTAGTTCTGATTGAAGGAAAACAGTTGGTGTGCCTTAAAAGTATATATATATTAATTTGTCACATTACCACCCGCATCCCTGTCTCAGCTAAAGAAAGGTAACCTCACAGCATGATTCAACCACTACCATGCTTTTATCTTGGTTTTGTTTTGGCTGCATTTAATGATTGATCAAGATTGATCAAAGCATGTTATAGTGTTTTATGACTGAAACTTTCTTTCAGATCTGAATAACTTTCATTCCATTCCATTCCTGCTGGATTAATACTGAGGTCACATTGCAAACAATCAGACTACATTACAGGAGTAGAGGAGAGGTTGTGACAGACTATAGTTGAGGTTGCTAGAGTTCAGAAGTGGTAATAAAATTAATTATGTATACCTGTAAAGTTTTGGGTTTTTTCTATTCTTATTTTTAGAAGATTTAGTGTGCCATTCTGCTACCAAAGCCTGCATTATTAGATTTGAGGTTCCTGTCACTGATGCGGAAAATGTTTCTTAAGTAAAACTTTAATCTTCAAAGATGGCTTCCTGTTGTAGATTAATTTTTGAATCCATAAAGTGCAATAGAGAACACAGCAGGACATCTATGTTTGGTAAATATAACACCCATTGCTTGCCCAGAGTGACACATTGTTACATGCACTAACTAACTGCAATCCTCCTGATATGCACAGATTCCAGGTCAGATGCACCGAAGCATCCAGTACATGGACATATAATTGCCCCACAGTCCTTTATTTCTGTCAAAGAAGCATTGTAGAGGGACAGATAGCAAATAAAGCCCATATTGTTCTTCTCTGCTTTTCTGTTGTTCTACTTTTTTATGCAGGGTTGGTTCATGGCTGTATCTTACTGGGGCATTCAGTTCACATCATTACCAAGGCTTCAAATGCTGAAGGTCCTTGTTTTAGTCAGAGCTGCGCTCATTTTCATCTCCATGCAGTTTAGCTGCAATGTTCAAAGTGAAGCTTGATTGTTAACAGCAGTCCAAGTAGATCTGCTTGCAAAGAATTCCAGATGTGAGCAAGTTCTGATATTCCAGTCTGTTTGATGACTTAGTCAGCAAAAAAATTAAGATAATAAATCTAGGCATTAACCAATATTCTTGATGTTAATGATGTGTTTGTTTGTTGTTGTTTTTATGCAGCTTAAAGGCATGTTTGGACCACCTGACATGAGTGTCATGATGGGGGAATGTGTTTCTTTTAATTTTAGACAAGGTGATCTAGATTTTTAGGTACATATTAATATGCATGTTACAGTCAATAAGCAAGTCTGAATACAGACACTTTTGTAAATATGCAAACAAACCCTGACATGACTCTATTTAAAACTCACTAACCTTTTTTCCACCAGAAAAAAAAAGTTGGAATGCAGTCTAAGCAGCAAAGGCCACAAAATAAGGTCTGGGCAAATTTGGATTTATATTATTTATTTTTTTCGTGATCAAAGAAGTCTTTTTTTCTGTAAGTTATAGCATAATTATACTTTTATTTTTCAATTAAAAATGTAAAAACACATGGAATGCCATTAATGCTTTTATGGATCCACCTTTCAGTGTGTTGCAGCTGTAGGTTTCTTGAACTGTCATTGCCAACGTTTTACATTAGAGGATCTAAAAACAAACTCAGGTGGCTGTTTGCATAACAGGTAAACTCTGCAAGCAAATTGTTGCCCTGCAATTTATTTAGGTTTCAAAGTAAAGGGGACTGAAAATATTTCCACTAAAGTTTTCAGGTTTTATTTACTCACCCCCTGAAAAAAATGTAGTTTCTTCTACCTATATTGTCTTCTTTTTACCTAAAAATCTCGCATTATGCAATGAAAGCTTTGGATGTGATGTGACAAATGGAGAAAATGTGAAAGAGGTTTTGCACTATAAAGTCTCAGCCTCTGCACGATGTGAGGCAGCAAAGGAGATTTTTCTACCAAACACCCTGAATGTTTCCAAGTTTCGAGTTGCATTTTTTTTCTGTGGGCCTAAAGGACAACGAGTCTTTGTTTTTCACCTTTCCCTCCTTGTGAGCATGCTGCCTTCATAAACAATACCCCAATGGTAACTCATTGCCCATTTTAAGGCCATAAGCTACTCGATACAGAGCAGGAAGCCATCATGACCTTTAAAAAAACCCAAAAGCATTTTCCTGCCATAAGGGTGAAAGGAATTGTGGTAGGGTTTTTTTTCTTTCAATAAAAGCACCAATCTTTCATTAAATGTTGCTCTAAATCAGGCATACTTTTAGCTTGCTAAAGCTTGAAATTGCTGATGTCGCCCTTGTTCTCAGTGAGATACGATTCTGTGTGAGTTCATCTTTGCTATTATCAAAATAGAACTGTGTAATGTGTCATTTTAGATTTTATTAAAGTACTTTAAGGGTGAAAAGCTGATCTGACTCCCTATCAGTGTCTTTGTAGGTGCAGTTGCATCAAGTTTTACTCACAAATTTCACACTTTAACCCAAACTCCTTTGGGATTTTATTCAGGCGAACCAGAGGCGTGTATCCGATGTGTCCCAGGATGTTGGGGAGGATGCTTGGTGGTTTGATGCTGCAGAGGACAAATGTCAACATCAACCTGATTGAAATGCAATCAACCTTACACAGTAACTTGAGGGGAGGAGGTTATCTGGTGCTATGGTTGGATTGTATCATTTTGCTGCGCTGTAGACTTGCAATAAAAAGTGTGTGCTGTTCCTAGGATGGTATTATTATTAAACATATATCCAAAAACAGACTTAACATGGCTTTAAACCTACCAGGGAATGGCTGTCCACCTTTATCGATAGGCAGAGACAGAGGGAGATTGTTTTAGCTAAAACATGATGTATGAAGGAAAACTATCTGCACATATATTTGAAGATATCTCCACATTAAGACACAGTGGTGGCAGCATCATGCTGTGGGGATGCTTTTTTTCAGCGAAGGTAATCAGTTTAAGTATATGACAACTGAGGAAGAAAATCAATCAGAGGCTGCAAAAGACTTAAGACTGTAGCTGAAGTGATCAGATTGGAGATGCTTTGTCCTGATCCAAAATGTAATGCTCTCAGATTAATTTTGTTAAATCCGATGAAGTTTGAGCAGTTCTCATCAGTTCTTCTTCACAGCATACAGAATGTGTCCAAAACTTTGAGGTTGTGAGACCTTTATGAGACCTTTCAGAGTCGAAAAGAAGGTAATAACCTTTATTTTACATCAAGAAGCTAGGTTTTTATTTTTTCGTTCCTCCCCTCTGAGTCATGTGATTCTTACCGTGGCGGCTGGCTATGAGGGGACTCTGACATTGGAGCCCCTGGCCTCCAGGTGCATTTGCTGGGTAAATCCGGACGAATCCACTTCATCTGATCAGCCGTCTCTTTTGCGTTTCTGTCCATTCCACCATTTTCTCCACATTTTAGGAAAGGATTGTCTGCATCATTGAGCGGCTCGTCTTTTGAGAGTCCAGGCAACTTGTTCCCACTGGGGAAAATTTTGAGATCTCCATCCATGCAGGATTTTTGCTCTGCATGCATCAGGGTTCCTCCACCTGGGCAAGTCGCTTGAGCATCTTTTAAGCATTGGTTTCCGAACACAGAAGGCATTACTCCCCTGCAGCAGGAACAGACAGATGTTACATCAATTCTTAGGAAAATCAAGATTTAATTTAAACCTATAGGAATTGTCATTTGAAGAAATGCAATAAGGAGATAAGTCTCCAGAAATAAGATGAGTAAAACCTTACTGAATGTCAGATCAATCTAAAATTTATGTTCTGAAGCTAAAATCAGCTTTGTGCATGATAACTGTGGTGCTTTAAAGCTGAAGTTCAAAGGTCTAACCCTTCTCCCCCAGGATTTCCCCCTGTCATTATTTAATAGGTCATGATTATGGATAATGAGCAGAATTGCAATTTTTTTCAAGTCTTTGGTAAGATAAAAAAAAATGCAGAAAATTATTGTATCAATTTTACCTTTTTTACAAAATCATTTGATAATAAAGGCAGTAGAACTTTAGTTTAATCTAGCCAAAAACCTAAAAGTTATGTTTGGATCTGTTAAAACTATGCAAAAGTTTAAATAGGTAGAATTATAGATTCTACAGATAAAACCCCTCCAATAGTCAGATCCATTTTACCTCTGAATTAAAAAAACATTCAATAAAGCAATCAATTTTAAAGAGTGGCCCAACAATTGATAGAAAGTGAAGGTTTTTTGCAATAAGTTTGGGTCACCATCTGATCAATAAACCTCCTCATCCAGAACTTCATCTAAGGACGTTATGCTAGGATTGTTATAAGTAGCAATTCAATCCAGAAATACTTTATAAATCCCAAAAGGGAATGAAATGTTGCAGTAACTTATAGAGTTTTCTTTTTTTTTTTTTTTTTAGGGTTGTTGTTTATTTTGATAGTTGTGGGCAAGGAGGATCTTCTGTAGTTGTGTGTCATGCACTGGATCAATGGAAGCCTCTGACTGAAGACGGATTTCCGTTTTCTGAAGAGGATGCTCAATGTTGTCCATAATCTTCTTAACATTTTTCTTAACTCTATAGTCTACAGATGTTCCAGAGGAATTCCGAGAACAGAGTTTGCCAACTTTATCATCTTGTTGAGCTTTTTTCAGTCATTTACTCTGATGCTGTAACCCTGGCAGATGATGGAGGAAGAGATCACACTCTCCACAACAGACTTATAGAACATACGTAGCATCTTGCTACAAAGGTATTATCTGCTCTGTCCCTTCTTGTAGTCCAGTTCTAGTTTGTCGTCCAGGTGAACATCAAGGTATTTATCCTCCTCATCCACCTTCACTTCTTCTCCCTTGATGTTAACAGGATTCCATTTGTTCCTGTTTCTTGTGAAATCTACAATCATCTCCCTTGTTTTGTACGATTGTTCGTGACTCCACCTGAGTCTTCAGAAATTTCCCACAAAGTAAGTCAGGCTGAATTGTGTTAAATAAACTGGAGACATCAAAAAACATGATCCTCACAGTGCTGTCTGCCTTGTCTAAAATCAACCTGATATGTCTGCTGTGGTTAAACCTCATAACAAGTGCCCAAAAAGAAAAAACAATATAAGTAAAAATTCTTTCAGTTTTACTGCATTCAGCACAAGAAGCAAAAATCCTCAGAAAAAAATAAGTATTATCAAGAAACGGAGAAGATAAAGTTCTCATAAAAAAGAATATCCTAATCGATCAAGCAGAGCTTCTCCAAATTGCAGCCATCTTAAGCAGAGAAAATCTGGGTCACCTCTGTTTTTACTGTTGTGATTAGGATGTAGAACAGCAATTAATAACTTTCTTTGCCCAAACACTAAATAGTATTTAAAGATTAGCACTCATATTAGTGATAATCTGTTAATTATGTCCATCAGGAGTTTGCTAGGTAGTATAGTTCAGATTCTAATTATTTATTATCATTATTAATATCTAATTAATCTAATAAATTACTAATTATTTGGTTCAATATGCTTTTGTCATTTTTTGCATCACTAATTTAGTTCCTCTTTTAAATACTTGTCACTCACTTTCTATTGCCCATCTCACACAATAGATTAAAGTTGGTTAGTTAGCAACAATTCCACAGAAAACAGTGATTGGAAATCTTTAATTGATACGAGTATCAAATATGTTGATCAGAATTTCCAAAAATTACATAATTTTCACATTTTGCATATTTTAATTTTTCAGAGAGTTTTTCCAGCTATGCATAAAAATCATTTGAATTAGACTATTTTAGATATTTACTGGATGAAATTCAGTTTTTGTGTTGCTGAAATTACTTAAAATCAAAGAGTCTAAGATTTTCCAGCATTATCATCATTCAGTGGCAAATTATGATTATCTGTTTTTCTTTTCTTTTTTTCTTGTTTTGTTTATCCGAGCATTAAGCCATATATCCCCACAGGAAAAAAAAAACTGTCTCTACAGGATTATATGAACAATTGTGTTAGCCTCCACGTTTTTGCATTTTTGTTGGATTTTACTAATTTCTTGGATATCCTGAAAAAAATGACTTCACTGATTTCCTCTAAATTTCTATATATCAAACTCTAACTCCTAATGCTGTGGGTGCTTTGTTGTTTCCAAGTTCACATAAATGCAGCTTACTGTCAGAAAGATAAAAGAGCCCTAATGAGCTATGCTGTTAAAAAAAAAGAAATAATAATAATAGTACAAATTACATTTAAAACAAGCTAAATAAGCAAACGTCTTGTTGTATATTTCTACAGCTAAAACACGTATGTAGAAAGAAAATGAAACTATATTAATATTTAAGTGTTAACTTATCTGGATGTGCTCACTCAGATAACATATTTCTTAAACTCTTTTTTGTATGTTTTTATTTACCTCTTAATCTATTTATTTTTATTTAATTATCTCCTTCCTGGAATATAAATCACTTTAAATATTGTATTATTAAAAACAGCTTTAGAAATAAATTTTGGTGGATTGATTTATGCATCAGGCCCTTTTGTTGTATTGATGTCATCCTAATGTATCACAAGTGCAAGTGAAAAAAAAACAGCTTTCATTTATATACTCTTCAAGGAAACATTTTTGTGTGGTGCATTTGTTTTACAAAATGCTAATAATTATCAAGAAGTTATATAAAAGATTTTACACAGACATTTTTTTAATGCAATACTTCTAACAAAATAATTTTCTGCAGGTCTTCTTTAATATATACAAAGATAATACTTCAGTTATAATGAAGTAAGTCTGTAACTGTTTTCAAAACAACTTCACTGAAAGTAGACCAGGAAACGGACAAAATTCTTTAAACTTTAAAAGCCTGATTTAAACTAATTTAAAACTCCAGTTACTACCTGTATACTTGAACTACTTTGCCATGGAAAGTTACATTTTAAATTTGGTTAAATAACTTTACTTATTAATTTAATCTAGAGAGACAGAAGGATAACTTTTATCCAGATTTAGATGTCTCATTCCTACTGGTTTAAAAGTTTTAATTAATAGCAATAATCAGATTTAATCAGGTTACAGGAGCTTAGAATAAAGTCTCAGTATTTGTTTCCCTGCAAAGTTTTAAGAGAGGATACTCACAGGAGGCTGGGCACCACTGACATTCTTCCAAAGACTGTTCTATACAAAAGAGGCTCATTCCCAGACCTAATATGTGTGGGGGTTTGGGGACTGTATGCAGGGGACCAAACCACTGAGATGCTCTGATGGGGGGGATGCTGGTCTTCTGCAATCGAACACATCACTCTCTTCATTAATGGACAGCCTTTTGATGTGTTTTCTCACATCATTTATTAAGAATTGATTTTCCTACCAGGATAAACTGAGGTAAACATCTCTTTGCTGCTCAGATGCGGGGGGCTCCTGACACCCCGTTCCCCCCTTCATGATTTCCACCCAGGCTGCACCCCAAAGCAAACTTTGTAAACACTTGTTTTGATGCAAAGGTCTTTTTGGGTTAATGCCTCGTCGTTTTGGTGAAACATGGGTTTGTTTCCCCCAAATATCAAACAACAGTTTGCCATTCAGTCTCAGACTGGAAAAATGTCAAGGTCATTAAACCTCTGACAGTGTTGTGCTGTTTGGGCTGAATTGTAATTTTAGGTGTGTTTTTTAATGTATTCAAGTCTTTAATACATCTTTTAAAGCTAAAATGTCTGCGGTTTGCACATCTTTGACATTTTACGCAACATATCTTCTCACTCAAAACACATTTTATTGTTAAAGTACCAATAACTGCTGCTAAAATCCCTTTAAAAATATTATGCCTCAACATTTTAGTTAAAAAAAAGGTTATTTGTATGAATATTAGATTACCAATTTGTATATAAGAAGAAAAAATACACTCAGAGAGACTTTAATACTGAAACTGGTATTTTAGTAATACATTTGTTTGTTTCTTATGGTGAAGAAAGTGAACTTTACCCAAGAAAATCATGAAATAAATATCATTGTTGCTTTTTTTTTGAAAATTTTTTGTATCCAATGCATTCAGGTAGATCAAAGTAATTTACAATGACACAAATGCTGCAGTCCTTTTCTCACAGAGTTGATGGAAAAGATCTGAAGTTAATCCAGCAAACAAAAATCAAATTTGGATCAAATCATTTTCCAATTTTACATGACACTTTACCGGATGCTGGGATTAACCTGGATTTAGTCATGCAAGGAGTAAAAAGATCGTCTCTTTCAGTCGATTTAGTGAGCTTAAAAGGAAGAAACAGAAAAATCGACATGAATATATATAAATACTAGCATGAAGGTACCCCAAGGTTTTAAAGAATATTTTGCCCTCTGATGGTTAACAGTCTTTTTAAAGATGTGAGACAAAGTGCCAGAGTGACTAGAGGATCCTTAGGAGTAGCAACCCCACCCCCCTCCTCTTTCAGTAGTCACTGCACACTGCCAGTCAGCTGGCTGAACAGATGTCACTGAACTTTGTGACGTTAAACAACAGAGTTTTAGACCATTCCTGTTTGAATATATAGATACAGTACACGTTGGCTATAGCAAACATGTACTGTATTTATATTAATGTTCCTTTTATATATGTTTTACAGAAAAGGAAACTATTTAAATTACCAATAACAGAGCTAAAAAAATAAAAAATAACTGGTCACATTTCAGCAGCAGCAGGCATAAGCTTAGCTTGCATGTAACAAATAAAGAAAATATAAAAAATTAAATACATTATATATTTCTAGTTTTTTGTGCCGATAATGGGAAAAATAATATTTTACCAATGGATATTATGATATTCAATGGAAGAATAGAATGGCATAATATCCCATCCCTTACATATGACTGGATAAAAATGTAACATTGGATTAGATCAGATTAGAATTCTCATATTGATACTGGAATAATTTGCTCTGCTACAGAAACCAATTATCAGTCAAATTAATCACAGAAAATAATGCCTAAGCTCATTAGAGTCTAGATTTACTCAGAGTTAGAGTGATGGGCTGTTGAGAGCAATAATAGCAGCTGATAAAGTGATTAGCCTATCACACCACGTCTGCAGTTAGTTTAAGTATCTGTACCAATCAAAGTCTTACCTGTGTTTTTCTTTGATGCACTTACTCAGCCTCTTTGAGTGTAGGGCAAAAAAATAGATTTATTTCAGAATTCAACAGTTAGCAATGGTAATAGAGGATTCATGAGGCATGCTTGTTGAATCTATAAAGAAAAATCAACACCAAGAGTCTTTTTATCTCACAGAAGAGGTTATGAAAATGTTTAGGTTACCTGTCATTTAAATTCAGACTGTGGAAGAACCACAGTTCTGGTATTATTGGATAGTCACCTGATCATGAATGTCAACAAAACAACGGAGATTATTGTAGATTGCAGAAAATACATAAACAAGTTGAGTATAGCATTGAAGAAGAAGAAGTGGAGGTGATGGAGGAGTATAAATACCTTGGTGTTCCCCTGCACAACAACCTACACTGGAGACACCGTTTACAAGGAAGGAACAGAGTGTTGATTACAGTGTGATCTCTTCCTCAATCATCTGCTGGGGTAATGGCATCAGAGCTAATGACTTAAAAAAGCAAAACAAGCTGATAAAGGTGGCAAGTTCTGTTCTAAGAACTCCTCTAGATCCTCTGGAGAATATTTGACAGAGAAGAACTCTTCGTGAAGTGAAGAACATTATGGACAACAGTGAGCATCGTCTTCAGAAGTTTTTTTAAACAGATCTTCCTGCCTACAGCTATCAACACCTGGATAGAAAATAACCTATGAGTTACTGCAACACTTAATTTCCCTTTGGGATTAATAAAGTATGTTTTAACTGAATTTATCACTAGATTTTTTCAGAGCATCTGTGAAACTGGGTCGGTCTTTCTAGTACCACACTGAACTGGTTTAAATCCTACCAGAAGGACAGAGACTTCTGTGTGTCAGAGAATAGAAAAATCTCACGGAGGGTTCCTCAAGTCTCCACTCTGGGGTCCCTCCTATCTTACATCTACATGCCCCCCTTAGCTTAGATTATAGCAAACAACAACTATGACTATGCTGACGATACACAGCTTTACATCAGAATGTCACCAGGTGCATCAGTATCTGAAGCACAGGGGACTTCACAAAGCATCAATATGTGGCGGGTTGGGATTGAGTTGTTTCAGTAGGACTTGGTACTAAACTACACTGCCACAGGTACCAAAAACAGGTTCAATTTTGTTACCATGTCTACCTGGCCAGTGGCCACTAAACTGGACATATCTGAGCTACTTTGACAATTTATTGAGCAGAGGTCTCCGGGTCCAGACCTAGAGCTCCATCTTTTAGATGTGTTTCCTTCCACACCTGAATCAAATATCTAAATAACCTTCTCAACATGCAGTCAATTTCTCCAGAGTCCTGCCAATGAACTCATTATTTGACTCAGGTATGATGAAGCAATAAAAAGGTACAGCTTACCGAACCCCCAGAACTGGGATTAAATAATCCTGCTAATGAGTATTGCCAAGAGGAAGATACGAGACACCAGAACCAACAATGCAGACAAGCTGAAGACTGGTAAGCAACTAGGACTTGAACAATATCCTAATAATTATCATGTTGTGCTTAACTGTGACTGTGTTGTGGGGGCAGCAGTTTCAGCAGAGACTTCCAGATTTCCCTTACCCCAGACACTTCCGGCAGCTACTCCATATCACTGTGGTCCAACACATCTCCACCAAATGGTTTAATTACTTGCTTAGTTGAACTCCATTTCTTCAAAGTCCTGCAAAAGACTTGCTCATTTGAGTTATCTAAATAAATGTAAAAGGTGCAGGACACCATCCATCAAGGATTGGATTCCCGCTTCACCAGCTGTGAAGCTCCTCATGTCATCACCGAGTACCAAACCTCCCTGCTGAGAAAACTAATTTCGGCCGCTTGTATCCAGGATCTTTCTTGAAGTCTTTGCTCCACCTCCTACACAAGGTCAGGCTCCTTCCCTTCCCAGCGAGGTGGCGTTCCACACTCCTAGAGCCAGCGTAAGCATCAGTGGTTCAGGTCACCTCCACCTCTGACTGCCTTCCAATCCTCTTTGGCCTTGTCCTTCATGGTTTCCCCTGCAGGTCCACTGAGGGATGGTCTTGTAACGCTCCATCATGCTTGGCGCAGTCGGGTCCAACAAAGATGAACCCCAACCACAGGCATGCGCCACTGTACTAAGGTGACTGCAATTGAAAGGATTTTGTAGTCATCATAAGGGCTTTGTGTGACCCCTAACCTTGGGAGATCAAACCGTTGGCATTTAAGCTGCCAGAAATTACCTCTGGGATATCTCATTCACCACATTAAGGTGATGGTTAATGCCACGCATTTTAATTGAAAGCTCATTAACAGGCTTTTGCTCAACTGCAGTCATCAAATTCAGCTGTGCTAAAGCAGGGAAACCTCTAAAACCTGCAGGACAGCGGCCCTCGTGGACCGACTTTGGGGATGCCTGACATAGAGGGTGATAAAATTCTGTGCCTTCACCTTATCCTTAACAGTTGCATATGCTGGACACACGGGGGCGCCAAACCCCTATTACACATGCATTAAATTGGTGTAATCAGGTTCAGTTAAAAGCTTAGTAAAACTGATGTCACCACTTTTTCTAAACCTTGAGCAGATTCTCATATGGCCAAATAAAAACCTGCTTTTTGAAAAAAAAATCTGTAAAAGTTTCCTTTTTAACTGAATTGTAGATATTTTATCATGATGAACCTTCAGTTTATTAACATATTCAGTAGATTACTGGAAGAAGTGATGCTAGTGAATACACAAATTTCACTCTCCATTTGTTAACTGATGGACTTTCTCTTTATTTCAAGGTTATTATTTATATAACAACCTTCAGATGCTGTATTCTTCAGATTGTAGTTAGCATATAAAGCTATGCATGGCACTCAAAAGCACAATTTTACGTCACAACAAAAAAAAACTACTTTCTCAGACAAACCAGACAAAAAAAATATTTAAAACAGTTTCATCAGAAGAATAAAAAAAGAGAAACATTTTTAGTGACAAATGAGTCAGTAAACATTCTATTTGAGTAGAAACCTTAGATTTAATGAGGTGAAAGTTATTTTCACAAATTTTCAAAAACCTGCCTTGTATTAAAATCAAATGAGGCAGGACACAAACTAAAAAAA